CATACCTTTAAAATTAGCATCATTTTGTGAAGAGCTTGGTCTTTCAATGTCTTGTTCTAAGGGTTCAGATATATTTTTAGGCACTGAAGAGTCAGGTGAACGCTGCACTGGACGTTGAACACTAGTACTTGGGTACTGCCATTTAGCTCGATTTTTAGTGTTTAAACCGTTTACGTTCACGGTACAAAAATAACAGTCTTCGAGATGATTTCGTGGTTGTCGCCAAATAGTCGGTGTTTCAAATTTAAAGGTATTTCTTTTACCACTTTTCTATAATCTTAAATATTTCACATACGATTTACAAACACAATTGGGAGCCCAAGACTTCCCATTTTTATCCAAGAGCATCCTAAAATACTCAAAATAGGTATTTTTTACCAACTCTGACAATCGTTAAACACATATTCTCCGCATATATAGCAAAAATGATCTGGATTGTTCAAACAACGTCTCCTTGAACTACTCATAACGCAAAAACTTCAGATACTAACATTAACACAGTAAAATACGCCTGTTATCGATTAATATATTATACGCTTAAATGATAAAAATCAAAAACAAAGTAACTCGAGCTGTTCAAAAAATTTTGAGGTTAGATTTGACGAAAACAAGTCATTAGTGAACATTATCAACCACAGAATTCGCGGCAACAGACAAACTGTTAAATTTTGTAAACAAGTGTAATCTATTTATTAAAAACAAATCCGATGTTTACAAAAGGGTCACTGTGAACATTAAGAGATCTACAGCTACAGTCGGCGTACAGACGTTGGAAAAATATTTAATAGTATATAAACAACAATACAAATTGTCCCTCAATGCTATGAATTCAACAAATCTTGGCTTGCTTTCCGCGAATATGAGACAACTACTAATTTATTCGTTTTATATCATCCAAGGAGTAGGGTAAGTTTTGTCTATGTAGTAGATGATACATTCTTGTAATCCCAGCATGGCACAAATATTCCTTTTATTGTACAATCTAAATTATTTGCTTTCACAGTAATTACTTTGCATATATTTTCCACATACACTTTGTTTAATTATCAGAGTTTTAATATCAGTTTAAATTGTGTCTAGACTAGCAAAACACCCTTTAATTTTTCACTTTTTCCCGCATTCAACCATTTACATCACGCGTTAAGGTCAAGGGCCGTTTCTTTATTTTCATTTGATGATGGGCTCGGTCCTAGTTTTCTGAAAAATCACTCCGCGCTTTTTGCCTTCACACTCATTTATCAGGGTCCCTCTTTAGTAGTGCTATGAATTGTGGACCGTAAACTTAATTGTGCTTGCGTTAAGCGCGACGTTCGGGATGATAGAACTTCCCCCGAAAGTTTTCCAGGGAAGTGCTCCAGGGATTTGCGTTTTCGCTTGATTTCGTCGGGCACGGAAGGGAAAGTTATTTTTCCTAAATTGATGATTAAATGTCAACGGTTAAGATTGAGTCATTGGGTGTGACTTTCGGGGGGTGACGGTTGAAAGGAATAATTAAATGATTTTTAAAGTTTTAGAAGAATGGGAAAAGTTTTTTATTATGCGAATGAGATTTTTGGCAGTGACCCATTTCTTAAGAGTATGCCGTTGTTTTCAATTAATAGAAAAAAAAATTCTGGAATATAAGTTATGAAATAAGAGTATATTACATACCTAAGTTGACAATTAAGATATTAGTAAACGAGACCTTGTTTCGCAGCCCGTTTACATTGTAAAAACAAATATGCCACGATAAAGGGGGTTATGATTGACAACCTGTGTTATTTTTAACAGGTCTGTTATTTTATAAACACACAGAAATTACAACCAGTTCACAAATAACGTGCCTGTTAAAAATAACATTACTTGTCGATCATAACCCCGAAAGTTTGTTTGTTTGTTTGTTTGTTGAGATCTCTTACTGCTCTTGTGAGTTCTGCAAGATTTACTATTTTGTTTACTTCATCCAAGTCATAATAGCATTTGCAGATCATTTAACAACAGTCTTCAAACCATTTGATATAAAAGATTATCTAGAAGAAATTAAAAAATAGAAAACTTTCTAGCAGCACAATTCCAAGTGGATTTTCCAATAAAAGAATTTAGATACCAAGAAATTAAAGACACGATATTACATGATATTAACCCAAAAAAATCACCATAGAGATATTGCAAAAACGGCAACAAAAGCATATAAATCTTACACGTTTTCAATTTGCTTCTAAGATGAAAGGTGGCTGAAATTATAATGCTTTCTAAACCAGGAAAAATCTAAATGAAATCACATCTTATATACCTATAAGTCTACTGCCAATCGCATCAAGAGTATTTGAATAATTACTGACGAAAAGATTAGAACAAATCCTAAAAGAGAAACACCTTATTCCTGATTACCAGCAAACACAGGACAATAGAACAGATCCACAGGATAGTCAAACAAGCCGGCAATGATTTTAAAAACAATTATTTCTGAACTGCAGCATTTATCGATATAAATCAAGCGTTTGGTAAAGTTTGGCATAAGGGGCTATGCTATAAACAAAAATAAAAATAATCATACCTATTTTACCAAATTCTTGAATAACATCTGACAACCATGTTTCTAATAAGACAACAATGAGAATATAGTGAACTGCACGAAATAAACTCCGGAGTACCACAAGGAAGTTTACTAGGACCAATATTATATGATTTACCAACTACAAGACTAATCAAAACTGCAACATTTGCTGATGATACAGCTATAACTCCTTCTCATTATAATCCACAATTGGCAGCCAAAGACCTGCAAAATGATCTAAACAAAGTTAAAAAGTGGCTCAAGAAATGGAAGAGAAATGGAGAGCCAAAGAAACCAAGTTAGTTTAGGTAACTTTTATCTTCAAAAAATAAAATTGTTCACACGTGCTTAAACAACTATCAGACAGCGTAAAGTACCTTGGCATACACTTATACAAACATCTAACATGGCATAAACATATATTTAACAAAAAGAAATAACTAGGTGTGAAACTATGATATCTATATTGGGTAATTGGCAGAAAATTTAAATTATCACTACAAAACAAGGTAGTAGTGCACAAAACAATACTAAAACCGGTATGGGCCTACGGGATATAACTGCGGGGAAAAGCAAGCCATTCTGATCTTAAAATTTTACAGACATTCCAGAATAATAATAACTAATACCCCATGGTATGTGCCCAACTGTACTAAAAATCACGTGAAGCAAAATTACAGTTTCCTTTATCAAAACCATTTATTATTCAAAATCGTAACTGACTCTTTTATGAGATGGCGTTACTATAAAAAAAACTCGTGTATGCCAAAATGGAGTTGTAAAAAAATCTCTAATGGATGAAGGTGAGTTTTAAGTGCATTACCCCAAATAAGAAGACCATATCTGAGGTGACTCTTCCAGACTACATAAAATCATAAGTGTTACATATGGTTGAACTCGTATTGAATAAGAGATGTTAATAATAATTGAATATACAGGGTGATGAATTTGAAAAACCAAAGTGACTAATAATATAAGAGAAACGGCAAATCTGGCAACATTGCAAATATCAAATCTGGACTCTCTGTTTCCAGACTTTTGGGCCACTCCGTATTTAGTTGACTGAAAGAGGGAGCTGTGTATGTAAAAGGTTTTTTCAACGTTTATTATTAGAAGTTTATAGTTTAACCAGTTTTGTATTGCAGGAAAATCGTTTTTCACCATATTTTCAGTTGCTTTCATGTGTTAGCACTATATAAAATCACCGTATCATCCGCGAACTCCAAAATTTCACCCTGCGACCTAAGATAGTGCCCTAGGGCACACCATATTTAATGACCATAAAATTACTGTATGTTGGCTATCCTTACGTTTTGCATTCTTTCATTTAAATAGGTAGTAAATAAATTTAATGAAGTACTTCTAATCCCAATATCTTCCAATGTTTGCAGGAGAATGTAATGGCTTACTGAGTCAAATGCTTTTGATAAATCAAGAAACACGTATAAGCAAGGTTTACTGGCACCTAATGATGCATATATTTTTTGTGTTAACGCCGAAATCGCATCTTCTGTGGATTTCTTTTTCTTAAAACCATATTGGTTGTTTGATAATAAATTGTATTTAGCTAAGTACGAGTTTAGGCGAGTTTCCAAAACTTTTCCAAATACCTTGGTAAAGGTTTAAAAAGTACCATTTGTCGAAGTAGATTACATTAAAACCGGTAAATATTCTTAATATTTAAGACGCTTGCAATTAAAATAATTCGTTTTAAATTTAAATAACAAACTTCTAATCTAGATATACGATATCTGATATATATTCGACATATATCCGAATTATATTATCGCCAGTCTCACACTGATGTACCTCAAAAAATACAGTTTTTGGGATAGGACTGTAGAAAAACTTTTTTCTATAGATCTTTCTTCACATTTCCTACAAAGTGGCGTAACTCAAGCTGTAACCGTTACGTAGTAATGGAAGCTCATGGGAAGGACGTATCTCTTTACTCAAACGCAGCACAAGACATTATTTGTGCTCTTCTGTAAAATTAGGTCACTTTGTAACATCGACAACGATATATTCGACATATACTGGACATATATTCGATATGTATTCGACATAAATTCGACATATATTGTAGATATATTCGACATATATTCGACATATATTCGACATATATTTGACGTATATTCGACATATCGTCGTCAATATCACGAAGTGACGTAGCTCGATTTTCACAACTTTACAAGAGATCGTTTTAAAGTTTTTTTATAAAGTTACTTCTCTTCGTGAAATTATCAGATACACACGGTAAGATACGTGCTATTTTCATAAATGTAAGCAAATTTCGTGAAATTGTAGAACATACTTTTTATATAATATTCGACATATATTCGATATATACTCTTCTCTACATATACTCGACATATACCCGACTGATAAGTAGCACTCCATATGTTTCAATTTTAAATTGTTTAATATAAGGTTACCGAATCTGATAAAATATTTGAATACTTACCATTCAAGACGTGCACAGTGACATTGGCCGGTCTCGCATTGGATGGGTTACACTGATAGTTTCCAGAATCTGAAGGTTTGGCTTTCTGAATCAACAGAACGCTTCGGCTGGTTTCTCCTCTTTCTGTTGATACACTAACTCCGCCCCTTGAGCTTGTATAGCTAATGATCTGAAAATTAAGAGATGTATAAGGATTTTTAATTTGATGGGGAAGGAATTTTTTTAAAAAACAATTATTGTTACTGACAATTTTTGATGAGTATATAATTTATGAAGGTTGGTGAGGTTTTCCGGATTTTTCCTCATCTGAAAGTTAAATGGCACCATCGATCATCTTTGAGTCGTTCAGGAGCAAATATTAATAAAAACCGTCTCTTCCCCACACAAGCTCAGTAGGCTTGAAGGGTTGAAATTCCTTCGTATGAAGGTGAATTAGGGAGACTATTATTATAACTCCCTTATCTAATTTTAGTTAATCTTTGAGAGGTAATAAAATAACACATTCATGGGTACCAAATAGAGTGAAAGAGTTATACTTTCTTAAATCCATTCCTTTGTATGAAATTTATTTAAAAACACTTTGTCAAGATTCAGAATTTCCTCCTCCTCCTCTATATAAATATTTATATTAAATTCTAAATATAATAATTTTGGATAGATAAAGTTTATATATGCAGATATTGATAATAAACTATATCCGATTTCTTTAAAGCTTTCTATCAAAAGAAAATCAATGTAAAAATATTTGAAATTCCCTCTGACAATTAATCTAATCATCATGCCTCGAATCCGAGCGATAATCACCAGCGACTACTTTAATGTTCAAAATGGTTTATGAAGGAAATTTAAAAGTAGAACCTGCTCTTTAAAATCTTTAAATAGTAAGATATCTGGAAAGATTTTCATTCATTGTTTTCCTTTATATTAGCGATGAGATTGTCAAAGTTGGATTGTTCTGTTCAGTGAGCTGCTCGAGTTCTCATGGACTATGCTAAGTTCACTAGTCGAAGACAATTGATCGACGAAGATCCCAACAATGAGCAAAACTGACAATGGAACGCGCTTTTGTTTCAGTATGGAAAAGAGTTTGGTATTTTATATCAGTTTTATTTATAATGGTTATTAAATAGGAATAATCTATATCTAAACCAAAAAAATATGCTTTTTTAGCTGCAGCAAAAACTAAAAGAGGACAAAAATGTCCCGAATAAATAAAAAAAAAGTCTTCACTAAATTCAAAAGGATCTAAGTCAAGTTCAATTTGCGTATGTATCACATATTTGAAGAAGCAAATAGTTTTAATTCCTAGTTATCCTTTGTAAAATTGAACTAAAATCTTATCACAATACCAGGTACAAACTATACTACTTTAAAAATGCCAGTAAACAAAGATTTATTTTCTAAGTTTCCCATTGACCTAGATTGACTGCAGGATTAAATTATCTCATGCGTGTAGACCAGGCATAAAGTTAAAGGGCATTCCGGTGGTCCTCAGGGGCACGGATAAGGTGAAATCGGCAAAATTCTAGCAATCGAATGAAAACGGATAACATTTTAGGAAAGTGTCTCGCAACGGTTAAATTCTTTAGTAGAACTTTCGAGATACAAGCTTGAATTTATCTTTGGGAATGATTTAAGAATTTATTGGATAGCAGCAACGGGCATTATTGATTGTAGAAGAGATTATCTTTTTATTTGTTTCTACGAGAAATTCGATTTGAAGTAGGAATGTTTAAATTTATGTTTAATAATCGTTTATATGGAAAGAACCGTGAAAACAGAGTTCTATACGTGAAAATATTTAATTATAAATAATTTAATAAAAAAAAAAAAAAAAAACAGAGAAAGGACCAAAAGACAAAAAAGTTTAACATTAAATTATTTTCCCCGTAAATATATTGCTATAACTCTTCCTCAAAGTATTTATACTCACTTGGTAGGAAAATTTAGTTTAAGTATAAATCCAGAAAAGAAATCAACCGGTTTTAGAATAAAAACCAAGGATTTCAACAATTCTTGTCCACTTACGCCTTTCAACACTTTTTTATAATACTTTTGGCATCCTTAAACACTAAAAATTTCGTTAAACGTCGTTGAGTGCAAATAATGCAATGAATCACTTACATACCGCAGTTGGTTATGGAAATTGTTTTATCGTTTTGTATTAATCGGAATGAGTCATGCATACTACAGGGTGTAATTATCATGTAGGACAACAGCGAAGAATAATATAAATATTAAAGTCACAACTCTAAGAATAGAGCATTAACTGTAACTAAAATATATTTAAATTCATAAAATAAATCTTTTTGTAATCTGTATAATATTGTTTTTATTTCTGCATCATTTTTACGTATTTCTCTATAAAAAAAAAGTGCACACGTTCTTAAATAAAATCTAAAGCACCGTAAAAGCGTGATCATTACCTTCAAAAGACATTAATTTGCTTTTTCTTCTTTAAGTATCCTGAAAACTACAAGTCCTCTATCATTTTACAAAGCGGAACTTTTTTCATTACATTTTTAATTCATTTAACCCAAGATGCAGGCAGCGTTTTTTATAAATAAGTAATTTTGTTAATTAAGAAGAGGATTAATTATACTTGGAATATTTGTTGTCGCTGAAAATGTAACCACTAATTACATGATTTTTAATTTAATTATTTAAAGTATGTGGTTGAAAAATTGTACGTTTAACCAAAGTGAGGTTATTTGAAATATAAAATCCTTTTGTTACATAGTGTAGGAATAAGAAGTGATTGGGTAATAAATTAGGCAAATACTAGGAATGAATCATTAATAGCATGTTGCTACTAATCACGATGAGCGAAGCAAACTGATGTATACCAGTTACCATTAACTGATCTTCTATCTACTTATACAACAGCTGCAACGTTGCCTGTTTTTTAAAAGGAACAACAATATTTTTGTTGGTTTAGGGTCATTTTAAACACCTATATAGTTGATTAATGTTTTCAGGCTCATATAAATATTATATCAAAGGTTGGTCACCTGTTATGATCACTCAGAATATAATAATAATTATACTCCCTTATTCATCCCCTTTTAAGAGAGCATTTTAACCCCAAAAGCTTGACCGGGAAAGGGACAGTTTTATTATTATTTGGCGTGCCGCTCCGGGGCGACTTAAAGATAATTGATGGTGCCATTTGACTTACACAAGTGAAGGAAACGCGGAAACCCCCACCCATTGTTAACTACTGTAACCTAAACAATTTTTCATATTAAGTTAAATTACGACCTTCGAGAAATATAAAAATGTACAACAATCATTGTTTTTTTTTACTATTGCCGCGTAGAAGCCTACCATGTGCTTTGTTTACTCCTTTTGGTACAAAAATGTCACGATATCGTCAAAAAATTCCTTTGTTTTCTTTTTCTCTAATTGATTCAGAGATTGATCAGCAACTGCAATCATCAGAAGTTTTTGTGGAAGTTACTGGTATACAAGTTCCGATTCTGGTCTCTTTCTTGATGGTTATTGGATGATCAATAACGTTTATAAGACGGACTGGTGACCAACCCCTATCCGATCAGAAGGTTCCATCATTACAGGTGTTCCTTCTTCCATAGGCAGTGCTACTATAACGATTTAACTTCTGCCAAGTACCACCGTATCCTCCTGTACAGCAACTGGCATATTACTGTCCTCATATGGATGAAGGAATACCTCTTCGACATCAATTTTGATCACTCTCTTCTTAAAGTCTAACTGGAAACCATGTAAGTTTATTACATCCATTCCAAGTATAACATCAGCGACAATAACAGTATGAGTGAACTTTTTTGTACCAATTTCCAATTGAACCTGGATTTTCCCATGGATGTTGGCACTTTCACCTGTGGCAGTTTGCAGTCGCAATCTTGTTGGTAGAAGTTTCTTACGGTTATTTATGGTCGTTGGTCGTATAATGGTCCTAGTTTCTCCAGTGTCCACCAACAGTGTATATTTTTTACCATATTACCGTCTATGTATACACTATCATCACGGCATTTTAAAGAGGCTATCAGTATGAGAGAGTCTCTGGAACGGTTTTGGTTTAAAGCTGCCCCCTCTAGGCCGACCCGCTCTAATTTTCCTGAAAAACCCTAGGGCATTTGCACGAATTGCGTACATGTCTCAGTTCACCTGATTGTCTTTGTCTTCACCTTTTTATCAGTAAATCTTTTCATTATGTTAACTAGTTGGTCAAGTTTATCTTCTACGTTTTCTTCTTTTACAGTTCTCACTTTACTGTATCCAAATCGGAAGAAATTTCGGTTTTTAAAGAAGATATTTCAGAAGTCACTTTTTCTTCTAAGGAAGAAATGTCGGACGAAACTTTACTTTCTAGGGAAGTAATGTCAGAAGAAATTTTACTTTCTAAGGAGGAAATGTCAGAAGAAACTTTAGTTTTTAACGAGGAAATGTTGGTTTCCATGAAAGACATTTTACTTTCCAAAGAAGAAATTATAGAAGACGCATCATCGGGAAATATATACGTTTCCGGATCCAAACCATTACTTTCTGGTAAATTTCAGAAGCGGTGCGTTTGTCTCTATACTGCTGGACTTCATACCGCGGGCAAAGAGTAAACAAAGAACAGAGTAGACTTTTAAGTAACCGTATATACTTGTAAATACGTTGTAAACTGAGAAAATTGTCAATTAATGAAATAATCTAACTATTCTTCATCTGCTTATAATCAATTTTGTAAAACTTTCGTAAAATAAGGATATCCTACTAATACTTCATCAATATTATCAGGATATAAATGTTTTTGATGAAACCCTACTAAATTTAATTTTCGTATTTTTACTATTGGCGTGTAAACTAAGCTTTAGAATCTTGTATTGATTCGAGCAGCGTTATCGAACATCGCTTGCATTAATGAAGGGCTTTTGTTGAAATTTAAGATTCAAGACTATACTAATGACCTGTAAGTTTTTTCAACCAATTCTTTAAAAAAAAAATACCGTCACGTGTTAGAACGTTAGGATTTTTATTTCCGCTTATTGAAAAGTTAATTCTAGTTGCACCGAGGAAGATATTGATTTATTGCATTGTCCTGCATTCTGCAAGTTTATATGTATACACAATAATTTTATTAGGCTTTATTTTATATCTAAACTAAGAAATATATTTGAGCAAGAGCATTAGGAATTTGTT